TTTTTTGGTTTACCTTGAAAATGGGGCAATGATGCAACCAGTTGACTAACTAACGTTGTTTATCAAATCACTAACCTTCTCTAATAAGTTTGTTGTCGAATGGACAACTATGCCACGTCGAAAGGCGTGGTTCTCCCAACAATAGTTGGAATGTAAAAGCAATTGTATTAATTCTTAAAATTTTTTGGGGATCCCCCCATTACATGGCCCTAGAGGTCTATTTATAGCCTTAGCACAAGCTTCCACCTTCTAGGGTTTAGGGTTACAAAGGATTTTACATGGTTGCCCTTATGAAAGGGACATTTACATGGGTACGCAGTGTCATTTGCACATATGGGTCTTTAATGGGCTGATAGGCTGGGCCTGGTCTATGGCGAACGGGCCTAAAAGGCCGGGGGCGGCCTGTTGGGCCTTCTTGATGCCGAACTCGTCATGGCGAAGTCTTTGTAGTTCGCCCGAGATGCCTTTACTTTCGGAGTACCGACGCGGCTTTTCAGCCTTCGCCATCTTCGCTTATGGCTTTCGCCATAGGGCTTCGCCTGAATGGTCTTGATGTCTTTAGCTTAAATCCTGGCTGGTACTATGGTTTCGGCAGGTCCGGCCGAAGGGCTTCATGGCATGCCTCCAACAAGCCCCTCACGGGCAAGGGTGAGTAAGGAGCTTCGGCCGAGACCGTGCAAACTATACGGTATGGCATGAGGCGCCCCCTTTCGGCTGATGTTCCTGTCGAAACCTCTTTTTAGACTCCTGCAGAAAAAATATGAACACTGGCATTCGCCTTTCGAAAATGGCGAAGCTGTATTATGACACTGGGTGATTATATTTTGCCAAGTTTGTCTGCTTTGCACGATTCTTGACTTGTATTTTTTTTTCTTTCCCCTTTTCCCTGTTGTTTTAGAGGGGATTTTGCCAAAAGTCATGCGTTCGGCCCCCTTTCGGGGATTGGCGAAAAGATTTGTTGACTTTTCAGCTTTCGACTTCTGTTTTCGACTCGTAGCATTTTGCGCTGGGAAAAACGCTTGTGTTTTGCATAAGTTGAATGTAACGGCGTTCAGTATCTTTATTCTGAAACAAGCTATCGCGGTTTCAATGTTCGGCGAGCGTTGCTTCGGCCGATTCGTTTCGTCCCCCTGGCATTTTCGTCAATCAAGCGTTCGCCTCTTATGTAGCTATGTGGTTGTCAAAATGGCGAATTGGAGGCGAAGACATCCTGGTCGAACCTTAGAGGATTACGACCGGTGCCACATCCAGCGCCGCGATGACATTGCCACACTTTGGTTAGACTTCGAAATGACTAATCATTGAGCTGCTATCGCTTGACGTCGGTATGTATTTCGCCTCCTTCCCACCTTAAAGTCGTGTACAGTATAGATGACGAACCGTGTTCGCCGGACTTAGTAGGGGCGAGGCGAAAATGTCCTGAAACGGATGATGTAATATACTTATAAAATTTTTTGCTCCTTTGTATAACACGTATGTGCTTTTGCCCGATGGAGCTTGTGCGTGTTTTTAAGTTTCTTTTCGCTATCATTGCATTTTGTAACTTGTACGTTCGGAAGGGTGAAGCATGTCGGTCCCCTTGTGTGTTAGCAAAAGGAATTCACATTGACTTTTAGCCCGCATCATTCGCTCTCGACTTTTGGCATATGCATCCAGAAATGCTTAAGTATTTGCAGAAGTCGAGTGTAGCGACGATCGGTATGTTTTCTGAAAACGAGCTGTCGCGGTTTCGCGGTTTCAACGTTCGGCGAGCTATGCTTCGACCGATTCGTATCGCCCCCCTGGTGTTTTCGTTGATCAAACGTTTGCCTTGGGGTTTTTCCACGAAATATCATACACAAAAAAGGCGAAGACACCCATGAATTTTATATGACTGAGCGTCAGTTTGCCATTGCCCAGCGTCGACGCAGCATAATCCCCGTTTTTCCTTCTTCGCCGCTTTAAATTTTTTTTGTGTTGATCTAACAACTAGCGATGAAGAAGATGCTCAAGGGGGTAGTCCTTCGCCATTGAGGACTGCTTTTGCTGATGAATCGGATGTAAAGTCCGAATGCCTTTTGGTGGGCAATGGAATTTATCTGTAACTTGTGCTTTTTGGCAAATAAATGGGGTGTGGTGCGTGTTACGGCTGTTCGGCTTGTACTTTCCCCTTTTTGCCTTTGGCAAAGGTATTTTTAGGTACTTTGATCGTTTTGACCATTGCCGGCTTTTGGTCTTTTTAGTACTTCGACCTTTTTAACTGTTATCGGCTTTCGGTCTTTTCTTTAGTGCTGCTAGGGTTTTGCCGTTCGTCCCTTTCGGCTGCCCCGTTCGTCTGCGGGTGTGCAACCGATGCGAACTTGATTTCAAGTTTTAGCCCCTCACATATTTCCTTGGACTTCTCGGAGTCAAACCGCTTGTTATTGCCGGTAATGAACTCTTTCGGCACACCGAATCAACAGAAAATGTTTTTCCAAATGGATTTTTACACTAGTGCCGAAGGTACTACCTTAGCCCATCGAATGCGGCTTGACACTCAGGTGTCCAATTGAGTTTGCCGGCCCCTCGGAGCATCTTGAAAAATGATAAATCTCTTTCGGCTGCTCTTGGGAGCAACTCCTTAACCCATTTTCGCCCCCAGCCCTTGTCGCCGTACCTCGCTGGTACTGTGGCGAAGGGCGTGGGTGTGGCAAAACCTCTTCGCCCGCAGCCCTTGACGCCGTACCTTATTGGTACTATGGCAAAGGGCGTGGCGTGTGACGAAACCTTTTCGCCCGCAGCCATTGACGCTGCACCTTGTTGGTACTATGGCGAAGGGCGTGGGTGTGGCGAAACCTCTTCGCCTCGCAGCCCATCACGCCGTGCCTTATTGGCACCATAGCGAAGGGCGTGGCATGTGGTGAAACCTCTTCGCCCGCAGCCCTTGACGTCGTGCCTTATTGGTACTATGGTGAAGGGCGTGGCGTGTGGCGAAACCTCTTCGCCCACAGCCCTTGACGCCATGCCTTATTGGCACTATGGCGAAGGGCGTGGCGTGTGCCGAAACCTCTTCGCCCGCAGCCCTTGACGCCGTGCCTTATTGGCACTATGGCGAAGGGCATGGTTGTGGCGAAACCTCTTCGCCCGCAGCCCTTAACGCCGTACATTATTGGTACTATGGCGAAGGGCGTGGTTGTGGCGAAACCTCTTCGCCCGCAGCCCTAGACTCCATGCCTTATTGGCGCTATGGCGAAGGGCGTGGCATGTGGCGAAACCTCTTCGCCCGTAGCCCTTGACGCCGTTCCTTATTGGTACTATGGCGAAGGGCGTGAGGGCGTGGGTGTGGCGAAACCTCTTCGCCCGCAGCCATTGACGCTGTACCTTATTGGTACTATGGCGAAGGGCGTGGCGTGGGGCGTGGCGTGTGGCGAAACCTCTTCACCCGCAGCCTTTGACGCCGTACCTTATTGGCACTATGGCAAAGGGCGTGGGTGTGGCGAAACCTCTTCGCCCGCAGCCCTTGACGCCGTACCTTATTGGTACTATGGCGAAGGGCGCGGCGTGTGGCGAAAACTCTTCGCCCGCAGCCCTTGACGCCGTACCTTATTGGTACTATGGCGAAGGGCGTGGGTGTGGCGAAACCTATTCACCCGCAGCCCTTGACGACGTACCTTATTGGTACTATGGCGAAGGGCGTGGCGTGTGGCGAGAAGGGTCCCATTTTGCCCTTTCGGTCTGGGTATCCCCACGGACGGCGCCAGCTGTTGTCGAATGGACAACTATGTCACATTGAAAGGCGTGGTTCTCTCAACAATATTTGGAATGTAAAAGCAATTGTATTAATTCGTAAAATTTTTTAGGGATCCCCCTATTACATGGCCCTAGAGGTCTATTTATAGCCTTAGCACAAGCTTGCACCTTCTAGGGTTTAGGGTTATAGGGGATTTTACATGGTTGCCCTTATGAAAGGGACATTTACATGGGTACGCAGTGTCATTTGTACATATGGGCCGTTAATGGGCTGATAGGCTGGGCCTGGTCTATGGCGAACGGGCCTAAAAGGCCGGGGGCAGCCTGTTGGTCCTCCTTGATGCCGAACTCGTCATGGCGAAGTCTTTGTAGTTCGCTCGAGATGCCTTTACTTTCGGAGTACCGATGCGGCTTTCCAGCCTTCGCCATCTTCGCTTATGGCTTTCGCCATAGGGCTTCGCCTGAATGGTTTTGATGTCTTTGGCTTGAATCCTTGCTGGTACTATGGTTTCGGTAGATCTGGCCGAAGGGCTTCATGGCATGCCTCCAACAAAGTTTGTCTAGCCGATGATCCTAGAGCTACCGTGCATTTCATCTACAGTGCAACCAAGAAGTAAAAGGAGAACTGAAGAAGAAGGCATCGCGGACGCCCGATGCCAATGGCATCTTAGATAGTCAGTAGCCATCAATTTCGGGAGGAATCTACCCATGGGAGTGGGACGCCCAATGCCTCCAAAAAATAGGAGGATGATCAAATATTGCAGTTGACCAACAACTGAAACATTAAGTTATATATGGTGAAACAAAAAAAATCAGCAACTAAAACATTTAAATATCTTATAAAACATGGTGAAAATACACGTTAAAACATGTCGTTATCACATATTTTTTATATAATGGAATGAAACATCCTAGTCTTTACTCAAAGAGTTACAGCCAATTATTACATAATTCACATAGAAGAAAACTCACAAAGAAAGTTCACGATAGCAGAAACAAAGCTAAGCAAACACAAACTAATAGACTGTAATACCCGGTGTTCTTGAGCATGGTTGGGCGAATTCGAGGGCGATTTCGATTTAAATGGGGGAAGAATGTAATGCCCTGAGTTTCGAATTAGTATATTTTGGGGAATATTAGAACAAATGCGCAAAAGTTTAATTTTTAAACCATTGTTCGAATAAGCGATCAGGAATCGTGGATGCATAGAGTTCGCCGAGTAGTGCAAATAGACTATAAGTTAAAACAATGTGGGCCGTTAGATCTTTTCAGTCTCCTTATATACCCAACCAAAAGAAAAACGAAAAACAAAAAAGAAAAAAAAACAGGGGGATCGCTCCTGCAAGCCCTAGCCGCCACATCTCCTGCGTCCTACCACCGCCGCCGCTGTTCCTGTCTCCGCCGGCGCCGCCGCCGCCGCCGGTTCAGCCGTCGTCGTCCTTCGCCACCCCATCCGCTCGTCTCCTTGGTGAGCTGCTGCTGTGTTCTTCCCTGCTGTTCCTGTTTTCCCTAATGCTGCCGCCAATTGGATCTGTTCTGGTGTTGGTGCCGCTGCCTGTGCATGCTAACGTTCCTGCTGCTGCTCATGCTATAGCGTGGCTTGCTGCTTGACGCTGCTGCATCGATCAGAGACGAGAAGGCTCCAGACAGCACAGGAAGCAGTTGAACAGGAGTAACAAGGGAAGGAAAAGGTAGAACAACTTTGGGGAATTTCAGCGATTTCGCAGATTAGGGAAATTTGTTGCAAAGTAGTGTTTCTCTGCAATTGGAACTTTCTTTTAGTCTCTAGATGTAAAAGATTTCAATAGGAATTAATTCGTTGGCAGTTTGTGCAATTTCTGAGATTATTGGTTATGGGCTGGAAACGGTATTTTCAAAACTGACATTAAACCTTCACGATTCAGGTTAGTTGTCCTAAATAAAGTTTGTAGTCATCGACGATATCTTTCTAACGCCGCTGGTTTCGCTCGATTCCGATAAACGGTTTAGGACAAACAACAGAAATAGTACTGCTGACCGGGTCCTGAAATCAGGACAGCAAATTCGTTTTCCTTAATCTGGGATTTTCAGAGGCATAATCTGATTTTTCACTCAACATGAAGGTTGTAGACAATTTTGTCTAGATGTCCGAAGTTATATTATTTGCTAGATTCCGTTAGACGGTTTGTGAGTTACGTATAAAATAGTAAGGGAACTGCTATAGGTTATTTTATATGTTCAGGTTATCGATTTTAGTAAATATCCCTTATATCTGTCATTAGTTCGATATAGTGGTTTATGCGTAGTTTTGCTCCACAGGTATGAAGGGTTCCAACGTTGAAGGAGTTGAGTCGGAGTATCGAAGGAGTTAAAGCAAGTACAAGACGGACTTGTGCGATGGATAAACTGTGTTGCTTTGTTGGTTTTATTTACCCAATTATTATTCGAAGCTTCCTATTATCAATTGTGTGGTTTTGGTATTATGTTACATATTCATATTTCACTTCATGTTCAAGTTCACGACGTTATTCATGTTTCTTTCTTCCGGAAGTTTCTGTTTACGTTATTCAAGTACCATGCGTAGTTATGGGAGTGCAATTTGGATCTTTATTCATGATCCTTAAGAAGCGCTGATCACGCTTGCTCGGCTTACCGGTAATGCTAAGAGGATATTCACACCTGCTCGGGAGGGAACTACTATTTTTTGTCTCCTTCGTTTTAAATTAATGGAAAGCAAATGCTTCATATTGGTTTCTTATTGCACTAAACCTGCGTATGTTTTACTAGTTCAATATTGTACTTACTGAGTATTCTTTACTCACTCTTGTGTTTAATTTGGTTTTTAGGTACCTAATGACATTGATCGGCATGGGGCGGGAGTAGCACCCTTGGACTACACATTATTATTGCACACTATTGGAATTTAGTTTTAGATTATGTTTCTGCTTAGCATAAGTTTTGCGTAGAACTTGTAACGGTCATTTAAAGTTCCGGTCCTTATTTTCACGTGGAATTTGAGGAGCTAGGATGGTTTGGATTGTGTGGATTATATCGTTATTGAGTTATCTTATAACTGACTGTCGTGGATGTCCGTAATTTTAGGAGGAGACTGCCGAAATTTCTAATAATTTTCGGAGTTAAGTGGTTTTTGAGTGTATTTTGGTATGGCACTCTAGGTACGTGGTTACCTGGGATGTTACATAGACACCAACCGAAGAAAAAGATCCCCTAACTACTTAATTCTATTAGAGAACCTCGACCCGAAGTTGGCAAATAGATGCATAATTGTCGTGTCAAGTTTACGACATTCATCATTTATTAGCTTGATATCTTCATCATGTCTTTGTAATTGAACCCATCCTCGAAACTAATATGTTGCCCTGAAAAACACCTGCAAATAAGATTTTGATGGTGTTTTTATCAAAAACCATATCATTTCTACTAAGCCTAAGAGCCCAACATACAGCGGAAGCTCCAACAAGAATAATTTTTTTTATTTTTTTACTAACACCCAAAAGCCAATTCCCAAACGTATGAGATGTACTATGTAGAGGATAAAGTCCAAAAAATAATTGTATAGCTCTCCAAAGAAATTTAGAAACATGGCACTCAAAGAATAGATGGTATATTGATTCATTTTTCATATAAAAGCAACATCTTAAACTACCATTCCAATTCCTTCTAGTCAAATTATCTTTAGTTAAAACGATCCCTTTAAGGAGATACCACATAAAAATCTTAATCTTAATAGGCATTTTAAGTTTCCAAATAATCTTATTTCTCTCTATGTATTATTAATTAAAGCTAAGTAAATAGATCGAACAGAAAATTGGCCATTTTGATGAAAATTCCATCTAAAAATGTCATCCTCGTCTGTTAAGTTAATATGTACAATGGAAGCACACAAATTATGCCACCTAATTAGATTTTGACCAACTAATGCTCTTCTAAAAGTAACATTAAGCGGAATAGAACCCATAACATTAGCAATTGAGGCATTTTTCCTTCTAACTATAGAAAATAACGAAGGGTACTTTTCCTTCAAAGAATAATTCCCTAGCCACTTATCCTCCCAGAATCTTACTCCCAGAATCTTACTTGTTCACCATTATTAATAATCCAGGAAGTCATATTTAAAAATGAATTCTTAACCTTCATCAGACCTGATAAAAAATGGGAATCTCTTGTTTCCTCTCAACCTGAGTTATTGATTTACCAGTAAGATATTTTCTTTTCAGTAAATCTTGCCACACACCTTGCTCATTTATTAATTTAAACAACCATTTACTTAAAAGACATTGGTTTTTTATTTCTAAATTGTGAACTCTAAGTCCGCCCTGATCTTTTAGCTGACAAATAATATCCCATATTGTCAATCTATACTTTTTTTATGTTCATCCCCTTGACAAAAGAAACAGGATCTATAATAACCAATTTTTTGAAGAACCCCTTTAGGAATATCAAAAATGATATCATAAACATAACTAGACTTGACAAAACAGAATTAATCAAAACCAATCTCCCACTAACATATATATGTTTACCCTTCCAACTACTAAGTTTTTTTTTCAATTCTTTCTTCAATTGTTATCCAATCTTTATTACTAAGCTTTCTATAATGCATAGGAATGCCGAGATATCTAATAGGAAAATCACCTAGCTATCACATATGAAACAACAAGTATTAACAGATTGAAATATATGTTTTCCTTTCATCAAAATATAATCATGCGATATCTTGTTCTAAAGATTTAATTACAACGAATACAATAGTGTGATCGGATTGTTGATTGGATAAGTAATTTAGGAGAAAAATAATCATTTTGAAGCTTGCTAAAATACATGCACGTATGTATGGATGAGGTGGAGAAAGTGGAGAGAGAGAGTAGTAGCAAGTAGTTTAAGGAATTTTGTGGAACACAATGAAGACACACATTGAAACATATCACTACCACGTATAAAAAATTTAGTTTTAACGGTTTAAAACACATGTTTTTATTTTGACATAATATAATCATATGATATATTGTTGTGAAGATTTAATTGCAATGAATACAACGGTGTGATCGGATCGTAGATTGAATAAGTAATTTAGGAGAAAGAATATTTAAAGAGAGTAGGAAAGAAGGAGAAGAAACAGCTAGACATGCATGTGACAGTAACAGGGTTCGTCCGATTCATTGGGCTGCTGATTTGCATCATTTTTCCAAATTTCGTGTTAGAGTACTGATCGTATCAGGGAAAGCAAAAATTTATGTATTAGAGTAAAACTCAAATTAATATACATTTGTCCTATCCAGATGTAATAATTACTATAACCTACTACATTCTAAATTTGTAATACTTAACATGCAAAAATAACACATCATCATGCAATAGTAATTTATTATATTTTAATCCTCATGTAAACATTGCTATATCATCTATATGTATTATATTCTAAAGCTTATACATACAAATATATTAAATCATCATCCCACATAATCTAGTCCATTAAATTTTCTACAAACGTTTCTAGGGCAGTCCTAAACGTTCCTGCTTCCTAGTTTGTAGCTCCCATTCATGTTTTGTAGCTATATTATATCTATGAATTGGATTTATAAGTAAGGAAAATAAAAACAATTAAATCCACAACCCTCTTCCCACCTCACCTCCTCCCCATCCCCTCGCATGTGCATGCAGCTGCGCATACCCGTTTCCTGCTTCCCCTCCTGCTTCCCATTTTGAAGCTCCTATTCCTATTTTGTAGCTATATATCAAATTAAAAGAGAAAAAAAATCAAATGTTTTTAATCTAACTAAAATGTTGTTGCATTCATAATTAAATCCATAGTGCCCCTATTTTTGCTATATATGTCATTCGGCCAAAAAGCAGTGCACTTTGCATGCCATATAAATAGCAATAAATTACTTTAAAAATTAGCATATATTGCATCACCATATACCATTCTATAGGCATATGTATGGCTAAATTAAATTTCCAGTATCCAAACAAAGATTAGAAAATAAACTATTCAGCGATATTTTATCGAGGGACAACACCCTACCCTTCTAAACTTCATCTCAACTGACATAAAAACATTACAAAATTATTCAACAACAAAGGTTGCACCATTATACATTATTTTGCAAATGTGAATAGATAAAATATAAACTATGTAAGAAAAAAGAACTAACCCAAAATGAATAACTAAAACCATTACATAAACAATCTGATGCCTTCAGTGAGAGAAAAATAATCCAAGCAAGCCAAATAATGTTTCACATAAGTGCTTTAAAATATATTCTATATTACCATCTAATCGAATTTAGACAATGTTTAATGTATTTTTAATACATCATAGATGAACATAATTTGTTCTAGTGTACAAACCGTTGAAAAAGTGGATCATCCTTACATATAATTCATAATATTTAATTGTTGATTTTTTAGAAAAAGTATTTAAATCATAGAAGCAATCATAAAAAATCATATAAATAACAATGATGCACACATAGTTATATTTAGCCATTGTGTTCTCACTGGATTGCGTGGACTCTTTACTCACACTCTGCTCGAAAAGTTATTTGATGGGTTGTCTTCCACACTGTGCAATTGAATTGGACTTTACGAGCCTGTGCATTAAGCATAGGATCATGTCCAACCCAAATCCACCCATTAATAAACAACAAGAATATAATAATAATAATAATAATAATAATAATAATAATAATAATAATAATAATAATAATAAGGAATAGTACTATACATGACATTTAACTATGTACAATCTGTTTTAACTCTTGAATTATTTTGGAGAGGAAGACAGACAAATATATCTGTGTATTGATGAAATGGATAGGATCAACCACTCTTGAGGTGAGGACGAGAGAGGGGGAAACCTATCTACCTATCCAGCTCATCATGAATCTGGGACATATGTTCTCCTTTAGGCTGAAGGAAACTGCCCTATATAAAGCCTATACTTGACCCTATACTATACTTACACCATCAGTATAACTCTTTCTACTCTTGCTGTGACAAGGGGCATGGGAGATGGAGAGCAGTAGAGCTAGTAGAAGCCTTCGGTGATGCATAGAACCTTGTCCTTTGGTTTTTTACGAGCATATGGCTAGTTCTATGGATAGTACGAACTTCTGATGTCTAGCTACGGAGTAGATGGATAAGTGATTTATGTTTGGGGTAATGGGTTAGTCTTTATGTAAATGAACTGTGAGATACTTTCTCGATAGAAATAGGGTACTTTTAGATACTTCCGGGCGGCCGCCGCTCCTCCCGCTGCACGTTGACGACGCCGACGCCGCCGCACGCCTCTCCTCCCTGCAGCTGCTGACAATGCCAATACCGATGTCGCCGCTCCTCCTGCCGCTCTTCCTGCCACCGGGAGAGGAGAAAGAGAGGAGGAAGAGAAGAGAAGAGGAGGTATGTGGTGGAGAAGAGAAAGGAAGAGAAGAGACCGAGAGAGAGAGAGAGAGACGCGTGAGAAAGGCGCAGTCTCCCTTATCTGCTCGATGAGACCGAGGCGCTTTTCCTTATCCGCTCCTCAGGCGGCTCGGCTCATGGCTCGATCAGAAAGGGGCCAGCTTTTTTAAAAAAACCGACACCTTTAATTTATTATAGGTGTTTTTTTCATAGAACCAACACCTATAACATCTTAAAGATGCCTTTTTTATGTTTTCGGACCACGGAGGTGGGAAAAGGCTTATAGGTACCGGTTTTAGTAAAACCGGCACCTACAGTGCCGACACCTATTTGATGTTTTATAGTAGTTTTAGTAGATATATTAGTGTAAAGGTTAGTACTTTCAGTGGCTAGTTATTTGGCCGTGGCTACATGCATGCATGCTGGACTAATGCATGAAAGCACACCTACATGTTGGTTCTCTTTCTCTAGTACAGTCACGTCAACTAGCTACCTACTCCTTCCGTCCTAAAAAAATACAACCTAGGAGGGGTAACAGAGGGAGTATGTTGCTAGCAGCTAATGCCATACATGAAAAATTTAGATATCAATTAATGTCAAAGATTTGTATATTTGACTAGGTGGGACGCACCAGTAGAACAGCAGGAGACCAGGCAAAACTGTGCGCATCGATTATTTTACTTAGGGGATGTTTGAGAGAGAGGGGCTAGGGCTAAACTTTAGCC